AAAAAAAAAAAAAAAAAAATAATTGGCCAAACGCCCAGGCTGCCCGTGTGAAGATGCATTTTTTGCATAGTTCCCCGCAGTTTTTGTCGCCATCGACATCGGTTTTTTCGGCAAATGCTTCTAGCTGAACAATTTAAGACTGCCACCAGAACTGGCAGGAAACAGGCCCTTAAAATTTCAGCTTTCTAGCTTTCCTGGCCCCTACTGATAACGGGTTTTCGTGGACCTGCTGCCACTAGCAAAACCTCAGTTTCTTTTGCTCTTATTCATAAAGTCAGGTCTCCTTTAATTTGCTTTTATCTGTGCGTACAGTGTTGTCTTTTTCTCTTTACTGTTACCCCCAGTTCTTGCCTAGAATTCCCGACTTGCATCTTCATTCCTCTTCCTATTCTGTCCCAAACCCCGTTAGCAAACAAGATAAAGAAGACCTCTCTACATCCCTACTATAAAATTACTGTTCAAACAGTATTTACCTTCCCCTATCTCAGGTGTCTACGGTAAAAAGCAGAAACATACGTCCTTATCCTTTCCGCTCTTCACCGCTCCCCTCTCCCCTCCAAATGTACGTCACACAGTCAAACGGTAAAAGATCTACGCCATTTAGTCCTTATATCCACCTATCCTAACCCCTCTCTCCCGCCGCACACTGTCCCCACTTCCACCTGCTACATTCAAACTGCCGCCATTTGCCGTGGGGTAGCCAGACCTGCCGTCGGAGGGAAAAATTTCCTGCAGCTCTTGTATGAGATGAGCCGAGCTTTTGTAATTGCCGGCCAAGCTGAGGTTTACTAAATGCCCAGTTAATCCGCTGCTGCTGGATTAGTTCGTCTTTTGCAGCACAAACGCACATCTAACAGGTAACAACTTCATTCACAGGTTAGGCAACGTTAAAACAACAGAAAGTGCTATTAAAACTAACAATTACAGTAAGTCCACACCGCAGAGAGGTAACAAGATGACGTAGCACCGCAGTGAGGAAGGGAACCGGGAAATCAAAAAAAAAAACGTGGCTACAGGGAATAAAGTGCGCAAATGCGATAAAGAGAGCAATGAGTGACTGAGAACGACAAAACCAAAGGGAGAATGGTGTATAAAAAAGCGAAAAGAAGGAAGAGGAGGAGGAGGAGACAAAAAACGCAAT